CACTGTCCTCAGGTGCCGGTTGGCCTCTCACCAAAGCTGCACCGACCCTGGAAAGGGCCGGTCGAGGTCATTAAAGCACTCCGACCGCAGTGCGTCCAGGTCCAACTGGGTAAGCGACGATGGTTTGTACACCCCACCCGCCTTAAGCCATACATCTCTCCACCGTCATCTTCACCAACATCACCACCAACATCACTGCCAACATCATCATCATCCCTACCCAGGCCAAGGTCGCCGACCACCACGCACCGACCGGCAGGGGGTTCGGTGCCCTGTGTTCCCTTGTCACCTACAGCACCCCATGTGAGGCCTGACGGAGCGGCGGCACGAGCGGGGGCCGGAGAGACAGCGGCGCCGGGCAAGGCGACACCAGCACCACCGAACCAGGGACCGCGACGAGAGGGCCTTCGAAGGAGGGGGCCGCCACGGTCATCTGCTGCCTGTGGATGTCCGGGCTGTTACGGGATGCTGGCTGGAGACCTGGGCAGGCCGCGCAATTGATTTCGTTGTGTTATGTTGCATTGTATGGTTGTGGGGGGGGTAAGGGCTGTCGTCACTGTCAGTGGGGGGAGGCATGGGGAGATTTAAATGGTCCATGGGGGAGGCAGAACCGAGGACGGTTATTTTTTTCTCCGGGGGGGGGGGGTGATGTAGGGGTGTCAGGGGAAGGATTCCCACCAATAGATGGGTTAGTGGGAGGGGTGATCGAAGAGATATAAGGAGAGAACGGGCGGGAAGAGGGGGCCTTTGGCGGGAACGAGATTGGGACGGCTGGGGGACAGGTGTGGATGGAAGGAAAAGAATAAAGGACGAGACCCCTGCAATCTGGTGTCGGCTCCTACTTTACAGATGGGTGGATAATTGAGTGGGTCGATGGTTAGTTTGGTGGGTGGGTGGCTAAGTGGGGTTGTGGTTGTGTGGGTTGTTGGGTGGTTGGTTGGGTGGATAATTGAGTGGGTCGATGGTTAGTTTGGTGGGTGGGTGGCTAAGTGGGGTTGTGGCTGTGTGGGTTGTTGGGTGGTTAGATGAGTGAGTAGTTGGGTGTGTGCTAAGATGGGTGGGTTTTTGGATGTGTGGCGAAACGGTTGGGTTCTTGGATGGGTGGTTCGGTGGATGGATGATGGCAGGGTGAGTGCGTGAGTTGGTGGGTGGCTGCGTTCATTTGTGAGTTGGTGGGTGGCTAGGTGAGTGTGTCGGTGTGTGTTGCGGCTGGGAAGCTTGGGAGTGAGAGCAGTGGACGAGAGATAGAGACGAGGGGAGGGGGGCAGGAGCACGGTGGGCGTAAGCCGGAGCCAACGCTGGCCTCACGAGCAAGGCAGATGCAAATCTATTTATAAGATGGCTCTACATTTGTGTCGAGCCGCTCGTGACAGACCGCAGTGTTTACACGGGGCACCTCTTCCCGTTAGCGTCTCGTGATAAGTGCCGCCGGAGATCACGGCCAATTTGCTCCGCTCGGTCACGGGACAACCCTGTCCGGGGTTTAAAAACAAAACCCGCCACAACGGCGAAAGAAACAAAAAAAGGAGTGAAGAAAGTTGGGGTGGTTCCACCGGTGGTCGCCTAAAGTCTGTCTGGGTGTATTTGGGCGTTTCATCGTGCCAGGAAAAAAAGACCGAGAATAACCGCACCTGGACTATTTATGGGGACTCATTAATCTCAGAGGTTCCGCGTTTACACGTTCACCAGAGCTGCATACAACAGTTGAAATTGGCAGCCCATCATTATCTTCTTGGTTCTTTCGGTAAAGTCACGTAGAAGGGAAATAATAAAATACATTTATTTTATTATGGTTTATTTTTATTATTTTATTATTTCCCTTCTACGTGATTTTACCGAAAGAACCAAGAAGATGAATCCCTGCAGTCACGAAAGCTTTAAATCGAAAAGCCCATCATTAGTTTCATTTGACTCCAAATTAACGCTGTAACGATCAGACCAACCTCTCTGGCGATTCGATGAATGGTCACAAATCGGGGCTGCGATTCGATGGAGAAACAGGTAACCGTAGATTCATGAACCTTTTCGCGTTGTGATCAACGTAGTGGCCGCTAGTGACTGCAGGTGCTACATGAATACATTGGATACAACATAGACCAGTCAGTGTTGCTGCACACAGACGAACGTATCGCGAACTAAAGAATGGACATTGCTCAATCGACACTTCCCAACTCTATAAACTCTCGTCTCTCTCCCCCCGACTCTAAACCCCGAACAGACTTAAAACAGATCAGTTGGTTAACAAATATCAGTGATCCCATTTTACACTCGGCATAAGAAATAAATCACGCAATGACATAATTTACTTATCAGGTATATAGTATGCATCGCTTCGGAGTCACCGAAAGCAAAAAGCGATTTCATAAATGTGTATTTATTTGAAATTTTTTGTCAGTCATCTGCACAGCCACTTTCTTGCAGAATTTAGGGCTCCTGGGGAAATCCTGGGATGTCTGCCGAGGTCAATGCCCTGAAACAGTTTAACGGGGGGGGGAGGGGGAAGCGTGATTGCTGGGATTGCACACAATACTGCGGCAGCCTTTAAGTAAAACTACCCGTGCATGAAAGATCAGAATTGGTGTTTGTTTTTCCTGAATAGTTGTTTTTGCTCATGTTCGTGCCTTCCCCCAGCCATCGTCGACTCCCTGCCCATATTCAAATTTAGGCTCAAGACCTTTTTTATTCTTCGTCTGCCCATCACTGACTGCCTCTCACTCTCTCTACAAAATAAATATGCTCACTTTTATTTCAGTGCATCATCGTGAGATGCTATCGCATTATGAAGATAAACAACCACAAATTGTGGATTAATTGCACAGTGTGGTGGGAATAACGCGCAGACGGTGGTTGGGAATTAAGCATTCCGATTGTTAGAATATAAGTTTGAATCGGGTCTACTTGTCATCATCATACATCATTATCGTCGTCTTTGAAATGTTATCACAATCATCTTCATTGCATTACATGCAATCATTACCATAATACCTTATGAATGGCATTCCCAACATCAACATAATATATTAAAGGTAATCATCATCACGACTTGTTAAATATCATTACCATATTATCATTATCACCACCATCATCATCAGCAGCAGCAGCAATATCACCGGCAGATATATCATCAGCATAGATGAAATGTTAGTTTTCTTTCTCGCTATGGGAGGCCGGTGGAGAATCCAGAAGAAGGAAAACAAATCCCCAAGCTGAACAGGAGGAGAACATATCAACTCCTGGCAGATAAGCGCTCGAGTCAGGAATTGAACCTAGGCGCATCTTGTGTCGAGGCACTGCACCACCCTGCTGCATGTCCTGCCGCCCGCCCGCCCTCCTGCCTTCGTGAAGTGGCCCATTGAGGTGTATATTTTGACAAATATGCGGTCCAGCTTTCATGTATACGTTCCCACAACTGCCCGCCACCACTCATGCACAGCCGCTAGACATTGCTATTTAAAGCGGCCAAATGTTAGCAATTTCATTATAATTTCCTGCAGAGGTCAAGATGAACATTCCTCTGTGGCATAGCTACACACTGCAGCAACTGCCTTAGTGTATGCGTGCACACTGTGTGTGTGGAGGGCGGGGGGAGTAGTGGCGCAACGGTTAGCACAATGCACTACGAAATCTGGTGATTCGTGTGGCTGGCCGTGGTGCTGGCCACACCACCCCCTTGTCAGCTCTGCTGGTCTTAATGGGTGCTCGCTGTATTCGCCTTAACAGAATGAAGAGTGGATCTTTGTCTTTATATAACAGACATGTCAGAGTTTCCAGTCACCCAAGCCGCTATTCTAGACCCAAGTAGATATGCACGAATGTATAGAAGCAACGCTGTACCCAGGTCGTCCTCATACGAATTATTTTCAATTATTTTCTTGAGTTTGTTTTGCATCTCATCTTTGTCGATGTTTGTGAATCTAAGTGTTGTAAAAAATATTTTAAAGAAATACTTACGCCAAGTATGGATATTCGTATTTAATCGTGGACATTTGAGTCATGTGATTTGTGTGTGTGTGCCTCCGTTTCCTGTTACTCTGAAGTCTCTTTTCTTTCTGCTTTTATTTTATAATATAAGGCTGCACTTGTTTAACCCTCGGGGTTCTCTTGAATAGGAATGTTTAGTCTCACGGGGCCCTAACCCGATTACAAATAAAGGATGCGGATGATCGAATGAATGTGCTCTTTAGATTCATGGAATTTCACTCGAGATCCATCGAGATTCATCAATCACTGCCCAATTCCATTGATGAGTGTTTGCAGTGGCGTAGCTATATTGAGTGTGTAGGCGGTGCAACTGCCCCCTGGGCCCACGGTACAGAGAAGCCCAGGCACCGGCTTCAAAGTTGGGGGAAATTGGACAGATAGTGTGGGGAGCAGGCTCATTTCATTCCTTGCACCAGGGCCCATCTCCAACCGCGCTGCTCTGTACACTGAGCATTTTGGTTTCGTGTGGAATGACACCGGAGTACCCGGAGGGAAAAAAAAACACACACACACACGTACGAGGAGGTAGCAACTCAAAGGTTCACAACAATGAATTCAAGAATCCATTGCCTTGCTGGCATCTCGTGGCCACCCCGGAGGCCAATCAAACGAGACCTGGCATAGCTCGGCAAACTTTCAAGCCGAGAGCTAACCAGGCTCAGCGCCCTGCTTAGCTTATCTTTGCAGAACCGCCGAGACCAGGCGCACTCTGGGCGATGTTGCCGTAGGCAGCTCGGCAATGGAATCGTGAATTCCCGGGAGGGCGGATGAGGAATGAGAGGAGGAACGATGTGGAGCAAGGTGGGGGTGGAGATGAGTTGGAGATCGATGGGGGGGGGGGGGGGGCACTCGCCTAGGCTTGACAACGACGTGGTAAGAGATTGGTGCCAGAACGATGTGGCCACTACTGGAGCATGTTGGCAAAATAAATTCGTGGAAAGCGGAAACAAACGACGAAACGTGCAGTGGACACCTTACGGGATATTTGCTCATGGATCGTGATGATGATGACGGCTCACCTGGGCTCTGCACGGCCAGAAGGAGCGAAGGGGGGCTTTGCCCCCCGCTGTTGACGCGTACCCATCCGGAGGAGCCCAGCCCTACCAGCGATCCGCTCTCTCCGTCGGCGCTCGCTACGTCGTCCTGAGAGACACGCACAGGCACGCGGGGACGATTCATCGCACTGGGTCACGGTGGGTTGGTGAAGGCAGGGGCCCAGGATCGGTTCAGGTGTCACTCGCCACTGATGCTGGCCATGGCCCCGGAATTAAACTCGGCTGGCCGGGTTTTTAGTATCGCGCGCTATCCGCTGTACCACCGCTCCCTGGATTGAATACGAGCAAACCGATTTGGATTCATATCGCGATGTCTAAGCGCGAGACCGCCGAACCGAAGAAACACGTGGTTACATTTAGTTTGCAGATGGCGGGCAAAGGAAAAGAAGGAGGGTCGTGAACTCGGACTTGAGCAGGGGCAGGAAGTCAACGGCGAGGGTGGCCGGGCGGAAGGGAAATTCCGGCGGAGGAGGATAAGCGACCTCCCGCTGAACGAAGGTCGACACGGGGGTCTGACGGAAAGCCTCGGTTGTTTGAGCGGAGAGTAAGAGCGGGATGAGAGGAAAATATAGGAGTGTGCGTGGAAGGGGAGTAGAATGAGATGATAGGTGGGAGAGTGCGTGGAGGGGAGTAGAGTGAGATGAAAGTGGATAGGTAGGAGAGAGTGTGGAGGGGTGTAGAGTGAGGTGAGAGGGGAGAGGTGGGAGAGTGCGTGGAGAGGAGTAGAGTGAGATGAGAGGGGAGAGGTAGGAAAGTGCATGGAGGGGAGTAGAGTGATATGAGAGGGGAGAGGTAGGAGAGCGTGTGGAGGGGAGTAGAGTGAGATGAGAGTGGAGAGGTAGGAAAGTGCATGGAGGGGAGTAGAGTGATATGAGAGGGGAGAGGTAGGAGAGCGTGTGGAGGGGAGTAGAGTGAGATGAGAGTGGAGAGGTAGGAAAGTGCATGGAGGGGAGTAGAGTGATATGAGAGGGGAGAGGTAGGAAAGTGCATGGAGGGGAGTAGAGTGATATGAGAGGGGAGAGGTAGGAGAGCGTGTGGAGGGGAGTAGAGTTTAGGTGAAAGGTAGGAGAGTGCGTGGAGAGGAGTAGAGTGAGGTGAAAGGTAGGAGAGTGCGTGGATGGGAGTAGAGTGAGATGAGGGGGAGAGTGGGTAGGCAGCGGCAAGTCCACGGTGATCTTGAAGATCTTGAAGATGGTGAGGGCGATTTTTGAAATCGATCTCGACACCGCAGTGAGCAGCAGTGGTGGCGGCGGCTCCTAGATTCGGATCGCAGAAGCTGCGAACTCCCCCCGACCCCCCCGGCTCGCCCAGTCCCAGGTGGTATCGGGTGCAGGTGGATTCATCCTCTCGAGCCCGAAGCCACCGAGCGTTTGGCGATCGTTAGCGGCCTCGTGTCGAGCAGTCCTGCATTTACCATACGGGTGACACGTGCGTTTCGTCGCATCGTGTTCGTGGAGCGCGTCGCGCTACGAACCCGGCATCCCCGAGTTTGTTTCTCCATCAACGGTCAAGACCTCAGTGACGATTATCTGAACCGGTCCTGGGTCTCCCCTAGGTCGACTCAGCCTCAAATTAGTACCTGGTGTAGCGGTGTGTAAACATCGCCACTCGGAAGACAAAGGCGGACGGGCGCGGTGCTAGCCACCCACCGAGTCGGCTTTTAGAGGTGCTCGCTAACAGCACTTGTCCGAACAGTCTTAAGGCTGTACGGGGGATCTTTGCCTTTCATGGTTGCATGTCCAGACACATGAATTGACAGTATATACCAGAGGTGTGGACTCGAGTCATGTGACTTGGACTCGAGTCAGACTCGAGTCATGAATTTGATGACTTCAGACTCGACTTGGACTTGCATAACAATGACTTTGTCCCACCTCTGAGGTGTGGACTCGAGTCATGTGACTTGGACTCGAGTCAGACTCGAGTCATGAATTTGATGACTTCAGACTCGACTTGGACTTGCATAACAATGACTTTGTCCCACCTCTGGTATATACTGTGTATATTACTGTATTTGTATCCGTGCATATTAACACAAACTCTGTAAATATGTATTACGTGTCAAGACGTACTCAGAAGTATTGTATGTGTTTCGTAACGGATTCTTTTAGGGCTCAGATCGCCACGTAAGTAAAATGTGTGTCGTAAACCCTCCTCCACCCGACACAGCCAATTGATAAAGTTGTCACGTGATGAACAATCGTGGCCAACGTATTACTGCTTCAGCAGCCCCACGACGTTGTGTTGTTGGAGAGCGACCTCACAACGTTTAACAAATGGCTTCAACGTTTCGCTGATATATGTTACAACCAGCATCATCAGGCAATTACCAGATTTGCGCAAATTATATGTGCGTGTGTATACGCGCACTAAAACTAACTCTGCAGCCCTCTGTCAATCCACTGCTGGATGAAGGCCTCCTGAGGTCGTTTCAATCGTGGGAGTTGCTTGACCACATTTCATCCCTAACCACCGCGCCCACCGTTCCACCATAATAATAATAATGCAATTATGTTATATTTGCGAGGTGGTCCACATTTGTACGTGTTCTGCTAAAAGTATTCATCGCATAGCAATCAAGGCAAAATATGTAATCCACGGAGCTAGAAAATTCTGAAATTATGCAACGAATGAAATGTAACAAGTACGGTTCTTTTTTTCTGTTTCATGCAGACGCACTTGAAAACATGCTTTGACCACCACGGGCGACTGGAACCTGGATTGAACCCATAAATCCCAGCGATGGTGGCTCAAGTGTCTTCCTAAGTGGCACGTGAAGCCCCCTTATCATGCCACGCGGCCTCCTCACTTTAATGTGTTGTTGTTATTGCGACACCCACTGTCAGAGCTCCAGTAAGCAGAGACGCCCAGCCAGGCCAACCCATTTTAAACATCGTCGCGGTCATCGGGAATATTTATAGACGGGCACCACTACGGACCATAGAAGACCCCCTCCCCCTCCCCCTGTCTTCTGCACTTAGAAGGGCGATGGGAGACGCAATAAGATGACTGGCTATGGGAGATCAGAATCTTTATTTAGACTGCAGCAGGAATCCGATGAGCTCTCAAGCTTTCTTTCACACATGGGGGGAGGGGGAGGGGGTCAGCTAGTTGCAACAGATGCCACCCGGAGCAGGGAGGCAATGAGTCGGAGGAAGACCGAGGATGCGAGATGGGTGACGGGATGCGGTGGAACGAAGACGCGAGGGCAAGGGGACGTGGGCAGAGGAGAGGCACGGAATAGAAGCACGCGGAGAAATCAAAATACGGGCAGCCGACCCCGTGAAATTTTTCGGGCTTGTCTGGCTTAGAATAAGATCGTTTTATCTTACGGCCACCGCCGGATTAATAACACTGGTCAACACACTTTTTCTGGCATAAGGTATTCCAACGGTTTTAAGGTAATTTTGGGGTGCTGATTCCAAATCTGTCTATCACATCAGGTTTTTGAGATATGAAACATTGCATTTTCAATAAAAACTGCAGAAGAAAAATATGAAATAAATGTAGATATCTACATAAAATGATATTATAAACACACTATCATAAAAATACAGCACCATATTTTAACACTAAAGCAGTCACTGACTCGCAACAACTTGCAATCATAAGTGACAGAGTTAATTTCGGGCAAAATCAATGAAAATGGGGTATGCCGATAGCATAAAAATGAGATGTGATAGGGCAAATCTGAGATCAGATTTGGAATCACCACCCTGAAATTTGTCTAAAACAACTGCAAAAGTCCAGGCCAGAAAAAAATGTTTTTTTTGTTGACCTGTGTAATCGTCGCTCATTGCCCCGGTGACGTTGAGCGCGACTACGTCAACAGTCGATCTGTCGAAGCGGTGATTCAAGTTCAGGTGCCACGCATCGGAATGATTGATAGATCACGGGACCTCCTTTGCCGGTACCAAAATATACTCTGACGTATGTCTTTTGATTGCACTCTGACCACAAGTAGTGTGGTTAATGCAGACATGATTCCTTGTTAAAGGTTTCAGTTTGGTGTTTTGACATCTTAACACGTGTTTTGTTGGAATGATTGATGTAAGTTTATTTTTGGTCACATTTAAATAGCGTTTGTTGGTTGTTAGGCTGTGTGCGTACGCGTTTTTGTGTGTCACGTGTGTATTTTTGTGTATGTGTGTGTCTGGGCCTCCCCGAGATCGACTCAGCCTCATATGAGTAACTGGTGTGGTGTGTGAACACTGCCGCTAGGGAGACAAAGGCGGCCGGGCGTGGGTCCTAGTCACCCACCCCGTCGTGTGCCATTCCAGGCTTCATAGGTGCTCGCTAACATCACTTGCCCCACCAATCTGCTCAAGGCTCTGCGTGGAGATCTTTGCATTTCACGTGCACATGTGCGTCATTTAAATGTCGGTGTTCTTGTTAAACTCAGATCCCACGTGGCCTACGGAAACCAGTGACGTGATTCAGAGTGAATGACCAAGAAACGCCACTAACGGACCGCTTAGCGAGACGACGTGCGAGTGTTGATCTCAGCATCAGTCCACCTATCGATCTGGACAACCCGCGTGCGCTTATTTGGAAATAAAAGTTGCCAGCGTTTGACTTGCCTCCAATAATAACCCATCCAAAACCGGACAGACGGATGCTTCACCGGTGCCTGTATTCCGCGCACCGCACGACTTAAATAAACACACGCGCCGTCAACGCGCGTGTGTTTATTATCGGTCACAATTAGCCATCGACGCAAGAAAAAACTTAATGAACAACAAACTTCGGTTGGCCTAACCCAGGCAAGCGTCAGTATTTTGAACCCAAAGAACGCAACGAAAGGGCAATTAAATTTGACAGCGCGAAGCTCGCGGTCACTGAACAGAGAAGTCGTTTAGCGACAACAGCGTCAAGCGATTGACGCGTCACCCACGTGCGTGCTTGTGTGTGTAGGTGTGTGTGTGTAGGTGTGAGTGTGTGTAGGTGTGGGTGTGTGTAGGTGTGGGTGTGTGTGTGTAGGTGTGGGTGTGTGTGTAGGTGTGAGTGTGTATAGGTGTGAGTGTGTGTAGGTGTGGGTGTGTGTGTATAGGTGTGTGTGTAGGTATGGGTGTGTTTGGTTGTTGAGCTGTGTGTATGTAGGTATGGGTGTGTTTGGTTGTTGAGCTGTGTGGGTGTGTAGGTGTGGGTGTGCTTGGTTGTTGGACCGTGTGTGTGTGCGTAGGTGTGGGTGTGTTTGGTTGTTGGACTGTGTGTGTGTGTGTATAGGTGTGGGTGTGTTTGGTTGTTGAGTTGTGTGTGTGTGTAGGTGTGGGTGTGTTTGGTTGTTGAGCTGTGTGTGTGTGTGTAGGTGTGGGTGTGTAGGTGTGTGTGTAGATGTGGGTGTGTTTGGTTGTTGAGCTGTGTGTGGGTGTGTGTGGGTGTGCTTGAGTGTTGAGCTGTGTGTGTGTGTAGGCGTGGGTGTGTTTGGTTGTTGAGCTGTGTGGGTGTGTATAGGTGTGGGTGTGTTTGGTTGTTGAGCTGTGTGTGTAGGTGTGGGTGTGCTTGGTTGTTGAGCTGTGTGTGTGTGTAGGCGTGGGTGTGTTTGGTTGTTGAGCTGTGTGGGTGTGTATAGGTGTGGGTGTGTTTGGTTGTTGAGCTGTGTGTGTAGGTGTGGGTGTGCTTGGTTGTTGAGTTGTGTGTGTGTATAGGTGTGGGTGTGTTTAGTTGTTGAGCTGTGTGGGTGTGTGTGTAGGTGTGGGTGTGTTTGGTTGTTGAGCTGTGTGTGTGTGTAGGTGTGGGTGTGCTTGGTTGTTGAGCTGTGTGTGTGTGCAGGTGTGGGTGTGTTTGGTTGTTGAGCTGTGTGTGTGTGTAGGTGTGGGTGTGCTTGGTTGTTGAGCTGTGTGTGTGTGCAGGTGTGGGTGTGTTTGGTTGTTGAGCTGTGTGTGTGTATAGGTGTGGGTGTTTGGTTGTTGAGCTGTGTGTGTGTGTAGGTGTGGGTGTGTTTGGTTGTTGAGCTGTGTGTGTGTGTAGGTGTGGGTGTGCTTGGTTGTTGAGCTGTGTGTGTGTGCAGGTGTGGGTGTGTTTGGTTGTTGGGCTGTGTGTGTGTGTAGGTGTGGGTGTATTTGGTTGTTGGACTGTGTGTGTGTGTAGGTGTGGGTGTGTTTGGTTGTTGGACTGTGTGTACATGTGAAGTGTGTGGTACAGGTCTGTGTGGGGAGACAAAGGCGGCCGGGCGTGGAGCTGGCCACCCACCCCCTCGTGTGCCGTGCCGGCCTACAAAGGTGCTACTCGCTAACAGCACTTGCCCCAACCGTCTGTTAAGGCTACACGGGGGAGCTTTGTCTTTGGTTGTTGGACTTGTTTCTGTGCGTGGACGTGTGGATGTTTACGTGTGTGCACACGTGCGTTCATGTTTATGTTGTGTTCACTAGCAGTACTCTCCCCCAACAGCAGTCGACATGCAGGCTATACGGGTGATGAGTCTGTGTATGTACTCGTACGTGCGTGTGTGACGATATATCTGAACCGGTTCTGCGCCTCCCCTAGATCGACTCAGCCTCAAATGAGTGTCTAAACACCGCCACTGGGGAGACGAAGGCGGCCGGGCGAGGTGCTGACCACCGCACACCATCGTGTCCCTTCACAGGGGCTGCTCGCTTGTAGCACTTGCCCCAACAGTCTGTACAGGCTATACGGTGTGGGGGAATCTTTGTGTTTATGTGTGAGTGCGTGAGTGTGTGTGAGTGTGAGAGTGCGTGAGTGTGTGTGAGTGTGTGTGAGAGTGTGTGAGAGTGTGCGTGAATGTGTGAGTGTGTGCGTGAGTGTGTGTGAGAGTGTGAGTGTGTGTAAGTGTGCGTGAGAGTGTGTGTGAGAGTGTGAGAGTGTGAGTGTGTGAGAGAGTGTGTGTGAGAGTGTGTGTGAGCGTGTGAGTATGTGTGTGCGCGAGTGTGTGAGTGAGTGTGAGCGTGTGAGTATGTGTGTGAGTGCGTGTGTGTGCGTGTGAGTGTGCGTGAGTGTGTGTGAGTGTGAGAGTGCGTGAGTGTGTGTGAGTGTGTGTGAGAGTGTGCGTGAATGTGTGAGTGTGTTCATGTGAGAGTCCGTGAGTGTGTGTGTGAGTGCGTGAGAGTGTGAGTGTGTGTGAGTGTGCGTGAGAGTGTGTGTGAGTGTTTGAGAGTGTGTGAGAGTGTGAGTGTGTGTGTGAGTGTGTGTGAGTGCGTGAGTGAGTGTGTGTGAGAGTGTGTGCGTGAGTGTGTGTGTGAGAGTGTGAGTGTGTGTGTGAGTGTTTGAGAGTGTGTGTGAGAGTGTGTGTGAGAGTGTGCGTGAATGTGTGAGTGCGTGAGAGTGTGTGTGAGAGTGTGAGTGTGTGCGTGAATGTGTGAGTGTTTGTGTGTGAGAGTGCGTGAATGTGTGAGTGTGAGTGTGTGCGTGTGAGAGTGTGCGTGAGAGTGTGAGTGTGTGTGCGTGAGAGTATGTGTGAGTGTGTGAGTGTGTGTGAGCGTGTGAGTATGTGTGTGCGCGAGTGTGTGAGTGAGCGTGAGTGTGTGTGAGAGTGTGAGTGCGTGTGCGTCATCTCACCGACAGACTGATGACGTTGGTCAAGTTCATGTTTTTTGCCGAAGTAAAGCCCCGAGTTGTTCACCGGGGGGCGTTTGGAGCAAATGTGGTTCTCTCTCTCCGACTTCTCTTCTGCTGCTGCTGGTGGTGCTGATGTCCCAGTGACATCAACATCACCGTGGCCTCCTCCGTGATTGTTGTTGTGGTGATGGGGGGGGGGGGGCTGCTTTCTTTCACAAGTGGCCCCGTGTTCTTCTCGTGGAGTCTCTGCACCGAGCGCACCGCGTGCGGGAGACGGCGGCGGTCACGACATCACTCGCCGTGCCCCCGTTGCTGTGGCTGCCATTTGTGTGAATGGCTCAAAACATGGGAACGTGGAGGAGGAGGAGGAGGTGGTGGTGGTGGGGGGGAGGAGAGTTAGTGTGGGTTGTCGATGGTGGTTTGAAGGGGTAGGGTTGAGGGGAGAGGGAGTGGGTTGAGGGGGGGGGGTGCTCAGAGCAGTGAAGGTTTTGGTGTGACAGCTCGAGTTACTGAAACGGGACTACGGGCGGTTGACTGAAGAGCTCCGTGGGTGGTGGGCTGGCTGGCTGGCTGGGAGGGTGGCTTGTTTGGGTGGCTGAACAGCGAGGATAATAAGGCTGAATTGGAATAAAAATGCTGAATTAGAATAATAAGGTTGAATTCGAGGAGGCTTTAGTATATTCTCCGCACAGAACTTCGGGGGTGGGGGGGGGGGTCTTATAATCTGGTAGATGTGTATGTTGTATGTTTTGGTGTGACCACATTAGTATTTCAGTAGGCTTTACATGGTAAGTTAATTTTTTTTTTACTTTTTTTGTTTATTTTTAAGTGATTTGTTTACCTTTCCTAAACGTTGCACTCCTATCGTGTTTGTGTACTGTTTGTTGTTGTACCGTTCTGACCTCGTGCCCCTACTGAGCATCCGTGAAAAGAGCTTCATAGCTCATCGGATTCCTCCAGTATAAATAGAGCTTCCGATGCTGACACCCTGCGCACGTTTGAGGCGCGTCTTGCTTTCCGGAGCGTCTGATAATATAATCCCGAGTGTACGGTAGTGATAGTCTGATAGAAGAGTGGGTTGGGGTGTTAGTTGGTGCGATTGGGTTGGGGATTCTGGAATGGCGTTGGTAGGAGGGTGATGGTGGTGGTGGCGGGGGTAGAGGCGAGAGAGGCCGGCAGGGTGGGTGGCTCGTGTGGTTGGGGGACGCGATGTTCAGAGAATTTCTAGGGAGGGCTAAACACGAAAGTTGAACCAATCCCATCTCGTCCCACTCAGCCAAACATCAACACCCCCACCCCCCGCCACCCCCTTTGCTGACCTATAGGAAAATTCTCGGGGGGCGTTACTCCAGCTCGACAATTATGATTCATCTTCGCCGAGTACGGAGTGGGCACGCTCTGTACGACCGCACCCAGCCGGATAATGTTTCACCGCGGCTGCTGTGCCAGCCTGGGCCCCCCCAATCGGACAACTAAACCTTGTGGCGGGACCCCCCCGGGGTTCAGATGTCGGATGCCGTGCGAAACGCAACGATTGACCTCATGCAAGTGACCGTTTTATTCGGATTATAAGACGCTCCGGAAAGTACGACTCCTGACCCCCCCTCCCCTCTGCCCAATATCTGTCCTCATTTGAGTACCTGGGCGGTCTGTGAAAATATCGCCACTGGGGAGACAAAGGCGGTCGGGCGTGGTTCTTAGTCATAACAACACAGCCCCTTGTGCGCCTTCATAGGGGCTCGCTAACAGCACTAGCCCCGTTTGCTTGGGAAGACTATACGGGGGTTTTTTATCTCTCATCTATGCACAACTGTGTACATGACTACTTACATGCATACCAGTAGTACCACGCGTGTAGGCAGTGCACACACACACCTACCGACGTGCACACGCCACCAATTCACACACACACTACGCCACTCACACACAGACAGACACGCACACACATCAATCACACCAATCCCCGCACACCGCACAGAGGAATCAAACCACATTCCAATTACACACACATTGCGCTATCATCCACATGCGCACAGTCCTTACATACCAGCGACACCACACAAATACACGCCGCAGATGGGCGCGCACACACACACAGACACGCCGTACTGCACAGACAGAACTATCCGTACTCGAACGTTGAGCCAAGCAAGGCTGGCTCTGCTGATGAGACGCAGTCGGTGCAGCCGAATACTGGTCCACGTCGTTTGCTCGTCAACGCTGCTGAAACGATTCAATCCTCGAAGGCCGTGCGGGTGAAGGCTTCCGTAAGAAACGCAGTGATATTTGTCTGCTTACGTATGTTGATTTTTATTTTCTCTCCACAACCTACGCGAATGGGTATTTCGAGTCATCCTAATGACACCACTTAAGACGTGATACGGTTACGACTTGGATTCGTGTCCTGTAGTTAGTGTGTTAACGCAGATGTGTCCCAACATATAGAAATATGTGGTATCAACACACCACTGACATGATTTATATGTCAACCATGAATAACCACGTACACACCCAACTCACCCTACTCACATGGAGACCACTTAAGCAAACCCTTTCACGTACCCCAGCTGAGCTAACTACACGCATCTGCGTGCATACACACCCCGCTCAGACACAAGCACTCACGACTACCCACCTACGAACCCCACCACTAAAACAAGACATAGATGACCCCCCCACCTCCCCCGTGTAGTCTTAGCAGACTTTTGGAGCAAGTGCAATTAGCGAGCACATTTCAAGGCCGGAACGGTACGCGAGGGAAGGGGGGGGGTGACTGGCCGACCGCCTTTGTCTCCCCAGTGACGATGTTTACACACCACATGAAGTACTAATTTGAGGCAGAGTCGACCTAGGAGAGGCACAGGACCGGTTCAGATAATCGTCACTGGTGTTGACCGTGAGCGGGAATCGAACTCGGGTCGCCAGGTTGGTAGTGCAGCGCGCTAACCGCTGCGCCACCGCTCCCCACGACTTCACATGCACACAGCATCAACAACAGCACACACCACCAGCGCACCCTCTCACTCCACTCACGTCAACCATAAATACATCAACTATTGGGGTATAGATCCTGTTAGCGAGCACTTATTAAGACCCAAACGGTGCACAAATGGGTGATGTAGCCTAAACCACGCCTGACCGCCTTTGTCTCTCTAGTGGCGACATTAACACTCGGCACCGATTACGCGTTTAAGGCCCGAGTCAACCTACAAAAGGCTCAGGACTGGTTGTGGGTATTCGACACTGATGTTGGCTGTGAGCGGTAATCGAACTCAGGTCACCGCGGTCAAAACACATTGTGCTAACCGTTGCGCCACATCAAAGCACGCGCGCGCACACACAGACGCATCACCCACGCAACAGTCTGTTAGAAGGACACGTGCCTCTTTCCGCTCACAGATATGAGTCATCCAGTCATGACACACAAGGGCGAAGTTTGTTCTAGTTTCTGGACAGACGTGAAACGCGCTGAAAGCGCAGCAAAGAGTGAAGGGGAAAATTAACTATATTCGGCATTGAGCATGCTCGTTGGCAAAAACCTGCATCTATGTGTGCGGCGTTTACCATCCTCCTGGTATGTGTTGTGGGTTTTCTCCTACTACTCCCGTTTACTTCCACATAGCCAACACTCGTTCATAGCATTGGCCAAATATTGCAATGTAGCAGGTGGTATGAATGCAATGTTGCAGCTCTTTGTCAATCCACCGCCGGATGAAGGCTACCCGACGCCGTGTCGATGGTGTTGTTGGTGGTTATTTGACCATACTTCACCACGTTTGTCAATGCGTGTTGGGTTGACGGGGGAAGTCACAGATTTTAGCTGTGACTGGCAAGTGCGCTAACCACTGCGCCACCACTCCGCGGCATATGTAGCCGGACCCTACTTGCCAGAGGGTACGTATTGAGACTTTCCTGGCTGGATAAACAGTCGTAATTTTAGTTTTACTTTGATCGTTATTTAAATACTCCCCATAGGCTCAGCAACAAACGACGTGAACTCCGACTGACACCCGCGCAACCCACACGGCCACAGTGCTACAAGACGAAGGCGGGAGTGCTCATGGCCTGCCCCATCTGGACGTCTGTGACAAAGCGCTTAACAGGTCATCGGATTTCCTTCGGTTTAAATAAATATTCTGATGCAGATTAACGCCGCCGGCAGCGTCCGTGACATTTTCGCGATGCTCTCAACAACAGCAACGCCGACACCTCGATACGAGGAGCCAGGTCGCTCTGAACCGATGTCAACATCGCCCTAAAGTTAGTTGTATTCTTCTCTCTGTAAATGATATTGCTGCCACTTCTGGATGTAACACGTTGCAGTGGCGACTTTTTCTCTAGCCGGTAGGAGATTCCCTCTGGCACGGTTTGGAGGATACATCTGGCCAGAAATAGTCTTCGGCGCTTTCTTTTTTGTCTTAGGGGAACGGAACTTGGTCTGTGAGATGTCTCCATTCCGTGAGTAGGAGGTAAAGTTCCCCCCCCCCCCCCCACTGTGTCCGGTCACTCCCCAAAAACGTTTTAGATACGGCTCGGAGACACATAAAGTTGCACACACACACGCACTCGCAAAGACAAAGATCCCCCCTATAGTCTTCCGAGACTGTTGGGGCAAGTGCTGCTTGCGAGGATCTTTGAACGCGGTCACATGGCGGGGTGAGGTGGTCAGCACCACGCTCGGTCACCTTTGTCCCTCCCGGTCCTTGTGTGTGTGTTTTATACACCGCACCAGCTACTCATTTAAGGCTGGGTCGATCTAGGTGAGGCCCAGCGGGAATCGCCGGGTTCGTAATGCAGCTGCGCTAACCACAACACTATCCCGCGCACAAACAACGCACACACGGCACGGGCATATATCCAGACAGCACACAAAGACAAAGATCCCCATATACCGTTTAAACGGCTGAAGGGGCAAGTGCTGTTAGCGAGCACCTATGGAGACCAGCACGGCACAAAGATCCCCCTCATAGGCTTAACATAATTCTGGGGCCAGTGCTGTTCGCGAGCACCTATGGAAGCCAGCATGGCACACCCACAGACACACACACACGCGCAAACATCCACTGGGAGACCCTTTCGTTCGCTGGACACTCCCGACTGCCAAACAGTTGAAGTGCCTCTCTGTGTCCGGAGTGGGTTGGAGGGGGGGGAGGGTGATTTCTCCGGTTCTGAAAGGACATCGGCTCTACACGGGGCGCCTGGAGGAAGGAGGGAGAGAGAGAGGTGTGACAGGCAGCGAGAGATTGTTTCTATTATATATGGAGAGATAAAGTGGGTTAATTTTTTAACATAATACAGGAAGGAAAAGCGGCATCGAATGGCATCCGACTCAACTCGAAAATGAAAATGGTCGTAAGAAATGCCCCATA